GATCTCTGCGTTAATGTTTGGCCAAAAAATGAATCGTCTTGCCCTTGCCTTACACTTATTCATGTCCATGTGGCCTTCATGGACTCGTCCCATTATCTGGCTCTTCATGGACACAGGCACTATCACTTTGGTACCTTTCAGCGAGATGCCTTTCACGACTGGCAGTTCACCTGTGAAAGGTTTCAGCTCTCCAACGATATGGCCTGCACGAATGGCCTGTATTACAGAATGTAAATAGGAATCCTTTTCAATTTTCTCTTGTAACCGCTTCAGTGTGACATCGCTAATCAGAGCCGCAACCGTACTGACGGCATGTATTTCCACGTCGGCGTCAGTGTCCGCATCGTTCTGGTCCGGCTTCACGACTGTGGCTCGCGACAGCATGTCCGCCAAGATGAGTTCTTTTCCTGGGATGCAGCAAAGAACATAATTATACTTAAGCAGGCGCAGAAAAAACAACTTGTAATCAAAGTGGCATATCAGCGATTGCTTTTTCAGCTATCGCTATCAACGGCCGATGATCGGTTTCCAAGATTATCCGGCGACCATTGAAGAAGTAGTGAAATTCTTTGCATCCGAATGTCGCCCCGCCGCGGTGGCCTAGTGGCTAAGGTACTCGGCTGCTGACCCGCACGTCGCGGGTTCGAATCCCGGCTGCGGCGGCTGCATTTCCGATGGAGGCGGAAATGTTGTAGGCCCGTGTGCTCAGATTTGGGTGCACGTTAAAGAACCCCAGGTGGTCGAAATTTCCGGAGCCCTCCACTACGGCGTCTCTCATAATCATATGGTGGTTTTGGGACGTTAAACCCCACATATCAATCAATGCATCTGAATCTCACTGCTAATGTTTCCTTTTCAACATGAATAACGCCGTTACGCGTGAGTCAGCCCCCTTGATGCGTACGCCACAGGACGCCATTCGCTTCCGTGATACTGCATAAGAGCTGAGCCCAAACCACACATTGATGCATCTGACATCACTTTTGTTCCCTTCTGAGGGTCAAAGATTGCAAGCAGTGGCTGTTCGCTAAGACTGCCACAGATACTCTGCCATTTATGCGTGTGGTTTGGGGTCCATGCAAATGCAGCATCATGCTTGATTAGACTGCACAAGGAAGCCGTCCTCTGCGACAAGGAGGGTAGGTACTTGGAAAAATAATTGGTGACGCCCAAAAGACGCTACACTCCCTGTTTATCAGTCGGCATGAGTGTCTGTTTCATACACTCTATCAACCGTCGGTTGGGTTTTATACAGTCTTTTCGAGATAATATCCCCCAGAAATTAGATTTCTTGAACACCAACCTTGCACTTCTTGGCGTTTAGCTTCAGCCCAACTTGCCTTGCAGCTTCGAGGACTGATCTCAAGCGCGGGTCATGTTGTTCCTGCGAGGTTCCCCAAATCAAAATGTCATCAACATACACTTGAACGCCCGGCAAGGAGTCAAATATTTCGCTGAGAGTCTTTTGAAATACGTCTGATGCTGACGCAATTCCGAAAAGCGTCAGCAAGAACCGATACCACCCAAAAGGAGTGGCGAAAGTGCAAATTATTGATGTTTTTTTTTTTTGTCTAGAGGCACTTGGTGAAATCCAGCTTTCGCGTCAAGTCGACTGAACTCCTGTGAACCAGCTAGTTCTGCCTCAATGTCCTCCCATCTTGGCATCTCGTAATGCTCCCGTTTTATGTTAGCGTTGATTGCCCTGGGATCCATGCAGACCCTCAACTTTCCATCTTTTTTCTTGACAATTACCAATGGGCTTACCCATTCAATTGGCTCGTTCACATTAGTCACAATGCTCGCTTGCTCCATCCGCTTCAGCTCGCTGCGAAGGGGTTCCTTCAGGGCTAACGGGACTCGGCGGGCGGCTTGAACCACTGGGACAGCCTCCACGAAGAGGACCATCGTGTAGTGTCGTTGCACACAGCTGGTACTTTCGAACAGTTCGCCGAATTCTTGCTATACTTGTTCGGAGCTGTTTGCTACCACGACGTCGACTGTCCTGGTCACCTGCCCGAGCATTTCACTCGCTTTGAGCCCGAGTAGTGCCTGTCTTCCTTTTTTTTTTGAGACGTAGAAGGTCAAGTGCTGGCGTCTGTCACCGACGACCACTTCTTGGCTGATGACGCCTATGTGTCCGATGATGGTCCCGTCGTATGACCGCAGAGTGGTGTTGCTGGGTTTGGTAGGCTGCGTTGGCCGAAGATTCCTGTGGACGGAATACGGTATGAGGCTAGCTTCAGTTCCCGTGTCGACTTTGAATTTGACTTCCTTGCTGCCAAGGCTCACTGTCACCATCCAGTCTCATTCATTCTTTATGCTGCTGATGCAAACTTCTAGAACTTCAAAGTCGTCGCCATCGTCGTCATCCTGTATCTCGTCAACGCGCGCAGCTCTTCTGCAGCAAACAGCGAAGTGATTCCTTGTCTTACAGATTCTGCAAGTTTTACCATAAGCTGGGCAGTCGCGTGGCTTGTGTTCTTTACCGCAACAGGAGCACTTCAAGGCTTTGGGATGCTTCGTTGAAGCCCCAACAACATTAACCTGTTCCACCGTTTCTACGCTATGTGCCCATGCTTTGCATTGCTGAGCAGCTGCCTCTGATGCTTTGCACATTTTTTCGGCTTTGGCCAGCGTGAGCTCATTGTCTTGCAGAAGTTTAGCTCGCAGGCCGTCGTTGCTAATGCCAATCACAATTTGGTCGCGTATCATAAAATCTGTCAGTTGTCCGAAATTGCACGATCGGGATTGCATCCTAACGTCTCGAGAGAACTGTTCAAAACTTTCCTTCGCTGTCTGCATCCTCTTACGAAACACATACCACTCGTAGACTTCGTTTGTTTGCGCGCCCAGTATGCGTCAAACTTGCTAACGATGGTCTCATAATCGTCCTTGCTCTCACCTTCGCTGAATGAGAAGTTGTTGAAAACTTCTAGTACATCTTCCATTGCTAAGCTCAATAGTATTGCTGTCTTCGTCTCCTTGCTTAGGGGCTTGTCATGCGGCTTCGTTACCCTGAAGCATAGCTCCAGCTTTTGCTTAAATCGTTGCCAATTCTCGCCCATATCCCCTATCATTAGAAGCGGTGCTGGTGGCTTCAGCAAATCCATGTTTCTTCGTGGGCTCGTTCGACGTCCTGCTTCGGCTTGAAGGTGTTGCACTGGGTGGCCACTTCTGACGCCATGTAAAATTCCGTGCGCTTTGGGTGCGTGTGAGGCATTGACGAGGCTGACATGTTGACGGGTGAAAAATAACCTTGAGTCCTTTATTGCGCTTGCTTATAAAGCCACACCAATAGGAGAGAGAGAAGAGAAAGGACACGGCTCGTGTCGAGTGAAAATGATGACATGTGTTGCACTATCACATCACGATACTCAAATGTTGCACAGAACTATCACAAGGCAAAAAACGGATTTCATGTGGAGTAAGCGATAAATCTTTTTTTTAAAGACCCCTGTAAAATGTTCCAAAAGAAAGTGGCATTCTTACAATCAATAAATGCATGTTCAATGGTCTCAGGTTTGTTACACCGGGGACAGCTGCTTCCCTATGGTACATACATCCCTCTCCCTTCAAGCCACGTTTTGAGTGGCAAGGTTCATGTATGAAGTTTGAAAAAGAAAGTTTCAACATTGGGTGGTGTCCACATGTTTTTCACTCGCTTTAGTACGTCTTGTCCATATGAGTTTTCATTCTTTGAACGGTAAAGGGGTACAGGAAAAACATTTTGTATAAAGTCTTTCATAAAGTGCTTTCTTTTCACATTAGTTAGGTAATCTATCGAAAACCTTGCCCTTAACAAACAATATGAGAGCACAATTTCGCGCAAGAATGGTGACAAGGTGTGTCGTTCACCCATGTCTGAAGATACAAAGAAGTCAGAGATGTGGCGTAATAGCGTTGTTTCAAATAAAAACATAAAAAGCTGTCTCTCTGGTCTCTTATTAGCAGAGAACGTGATATTACTTGGTTAAGAAAAAGATGATACAAAAACAAGACTCCTTGCTTAACACGCCGAAACAAGTTCGTTCTAGATGTTCGCTCCTATGTAGAGCTCCAGATGAACGTGGTGAAAATCCTGTGGATTTTACGAATGCTTACTACTTAGTTGTACGCGTATGAGCCATGTATGACCGTCGTCAGTAGGCACCATGCTGTCGCTGAGAAACGTAGCCGGGCAACGCTCCCACGCCCGGAAGCCCGTTGCGTTTTCTGTATGAGGAAGCCGCTCGATAACTAAACCCCTCATTAATGGCGGTGCCGAGTCACAAGCAGATGTATAGGCTCAAGCCTTCGGCCACAAATACTGTAACAGTTCTGTGTTGTCATTCTTCGCAGGCTTATCTCGACGCTCAACTTTGTATCACTGCAAGCGATGAGAGCAGATCACGTTGAAGCGACACACAGTTTTCGTTTTGGCTACGAGCACCATAACTATGTCAGACAGAGCGACATAGCCCCGCCGCGGTGGTCTAGTGGCTAAGGTACTCGGCTGCTGACCCGCAGGTCGTGGGTTCGAATCCCGGCTGCGGCGGCTGCATTTCCGATGGAGGCGGAAATGTTGTAGGCCCGTGTGCTCAGATTTGGGTGCACGTTGGAGAACCCCAGGTGGTCGAAATTTCCGGAGCCCTCCACTACGGCGTCTCTCATAATCATATGGTAGTTTTGGGACGTTAAACCCCACATATCAATAAGACAGAGCGACATTAGAAGCTACCTGTCAAAACGGGACATGTGTGCGCGCTGCAGCAGGTGACGCGTTGATCTATTCTGCCACGCGATCCCGTGATCTGTACACTTTTGTTGGTGGCTGTACATACATACTACATACATACTACATACATACATACATACATACATACATACATACATACATACATACATACATACATACATACATACATACATACATTGCTATGCGAAAATGCCCCAGGACTGTGACCGACCTATTCATGTTGTTGAGCCACCATGATACCTTTAAGAAATAACACAATACTCACACGCATGGAACGACGCTTGTTCCTTGTCAGGTGCAAGGTCATGTATGACTGGGTAGAGCACACCAAAGCAGTTAATAATGCCAAACACAGCGCCGTGCACCCAGAACGACGCTAAACACACCAGCCACGCTAAGCCACCATCCTTGCGCACTTTTGAGACGCCACTAATCCCATCGTCCACCACTGGTTGCGGCTCCTTGTCAGGAGCAGCAAGGGAAGTCATTGCTCAACGTCTCTGCAGTGACGAGCCTGCTGCCCGGCCAGAGGACGTGTGTCTCTGAAAAGGGTGCAAGAGATAATGAGATAATGAGCGTTAGGAACGCGCAAACCGGCTGCAGAACAGCTGCAATTCATCTCTCCGAATAATGCTGAAAGAAAACCAGAGAATTAGTCTGGTACAATAACTGCCTCACTAATTTCATGTTCCTACAGAACTGCAAGCAGCGCGATGCATTGAAACATTTGTGCAACGTTCCAGTATTCATTCCTACCATATAGTCTGGTTGCGCACTGATCGCGGTTTATGAGTTCGCGCCACGTCTTCCGTAGTGTTGATAAAATTGCTGCATTCTCAGGATAAAAATGATGCTCAGCATAGCCTTATTTCCGAGGTGGGGGGGGGGACATGAAAATTAGTAGGGAGGGCTGAGCCCCCCCCCCCCCCCACCGGTTTAGGCAGTGGTCATTGTCGGCTGCCCGGTGAAAAACAAGCTGGGGGAAAATTTTCATTCAATTCAGCGGTTACGTAATTATATATAATAAAATTTCGTAACATATTTTTACTATTTTTTCTACTGATAAGCTGTTTTTTTCGCGTCTCGTGACTATAAATGGAACGCCTTTTGCTTTCGTGCCCGGCACTCAGACCTTTATGAGAAAACTACCGCTGAGCAGGGGCTCTAGAACGTTAGACCACTCTGTCATGCCTTTATACTGGGGTTTGCTTGACCTGCAACTTGCATTTGAGGTGTCGCAGGTGCCTGTGGAAACCAGATAAGAAACGCTTTATGTACCAATCACGTGGTGTTCTCGCCTTCAAAACTCATCATCTTTTTATAGAAAACTAATTGAATTGCGGCTGCTCTCTGTCTTGGCTGTCATACGTCAACGAGAGCGTAGAGCTGTCTTTGAAGAGACCCGGGTCGAGAGAACTAAAAATGCTTTGCACTTTATTCTCCAATTTACCAGTGTTGCCTAACTTATACTATGGTATAGCTTGAAACAATCGTAGTGGCTTGCAACAATGTAAAACAGCCGACTCGAGCGAAGAGGTAAGTCCAACTTTGAGACTTCTCCCCGACTTGGTCAACCTAACAAGGAGATAATCCAAAGTTTTCTGGACTAAGATGACTGCCTACCTGCGAAGGCTCTCATCTGTTTCTAATCATGTTTACTTCTTCATTTCCGCAAATAGTTCACAGAGAGGTGTACACGCACATAAATGGCTCAATGTGGTTATATTGCGACTGAAAATATTTATTAAAGGCACATGAATTCATGTCGCCAACTGTAATAAAAGCTGCCGCCAGACTGATTGCCGGGAATCCTTCTTGAGTTACGCTCCTAAGGAGACGCTGTCCGGCTTAACCGAAAAAACTTCACCGCAGTAATACACCGTTTATTGTGGACACCTAATTTTAACGCAACAAATTTTTGCTGATTTCTGGCACTGCGTATCACGCAGATGATTTTACAAAACACAATTTTTTTGCAATATAGAGAAAAATTGTGTTGTTGAAGTGGTGCGCAAAATAAATATCACAACAAAAAAGTAGCACCGAAAAGACGCAAACTATCGACCCAGAAATAATAAAAAAAATATATGTGTGTTTGAGTCAACGCGCCCTAAGGAGTCATGATCACACAAAGGGCGCTTCTGGGTTGTCTAAATTAGTAAAAATATGAGGGAAGTAACGTGACCGAAGGGTTCGCAACGCAAGTATTACTTGTTTATTGAATGAATACACTTAAAAATTCACACGCTACCATATCCTTCATCCGAGAATGCAATGACGTGTCAGCAGTAAAGAAAACACAAACTAGAGCGAGAGATTGAAAAAGTTGGAAAATAAACGGCAAAAAAAAGGAATAGAAAAAAAACAAGTAGAATAAAGTAAAGGAAAGCAACAGAAAAAACAGAAATACAGATAAACAGATAGGACGAAAGATACTAAGCAGGCTGCCCAAGCCCGCACCTTTACCAGGCTTATCACCAGTAAGCCTGCAAAGTTGTTTTTTTTTTGTTACAAAAGCCACAGTTTTCATATTTGCGACTTCGTTCACAATGTGCCTCAAGACATCTGTGTTTCGATCAGAAGTATCCTCGAATTAAATACCTTTTTTTGAAGACCATGCGGTTTTGGATGTTGACCACAGCTTTGTGAATGGCCATGCCGATTTCGGCTGTCCGTGAAACTCGTTTTCCTACCTTTGCGTCACATATTTGCATGCTTCACGCTCGGTGTGCTTCGATGAACGTCTGAATTGTCTGGGCTGCGTCCGAATTTCACTATATATATATATATATATATATATATATATATATATATATATATATATATATATATATATTGGCATGGGTTGGATGGGTTGGTAGGTTTGTTCGACTATCATGGATTATAGACCGCAAAATCAATGACATGACATCATCGTCAGGCATGTCCTATTAACGATCAAAGCTGCAGAAGATGAGCTAAGGATAAACGGGTATACGCTCCACCACGAAAAAAAACAAAAAAAGAAATACTAATAGAAATAACTAATAATAAGAAAGAAAGAAGCTCATGAGTGACACAACCCACAAGTCAGCAAAGGAAACATTGAAGATTTGTGATGAAACATTTTTTCACAGGGGGTTTGTGCTGAAGCAAAAGTTTCAACAAGTGGAGTTGGCTTCTTTAAGGCTGCATTTGCAACATGCACCATTTGTTACAGATTTTTCACCGACCCACTGAATGGAGTACCAATCGCTTGGCGTTAGCGTTAATATAAATGATGCATTCTTTTGTGAAAGTGTGCGCCTGCGTCTGATGGCTTGAAAGAGTTACGAGGCTCGACTATCGAACTTCATGCTTGTTCACGAGTCTTTAGCATGACAGCGTTGAAGACCTCGTTTTGCGAAATTGCGGCGTGCACCATTTTCATGCTAAGAAAATGTTCTACCACACAGCGATGCGTCTGCTTAGAAATACAATTGAAATAACGTCCTGCGCTTGGACAAACAACAATTATACTTTACAACTTACTTTAATAATGTTCATACTAAACAAACACAAGTATCTTGTATACAGGCTTCACAATACAGTACATATTATCGCCATGTATTATTGCATGGTACAAGCGTGCATTGTCCTCCGGCGTCAGCACTTGTTGTTATCATAACAACTTCGTGATTTAAAGCCGGCTAACCATACCAAAAAGCCCACACGCTATGGCGCGTATTCCCTTACGACCACTTACTGAGCAAATAGCATTTTTTTAAATATTCATGCGCATGATGGTTCGTAGTTTTCAAAGCATGTTATTAACACAAACTTTAGCAGTCCATTTTATATGCGGTAGATACCGACACACACTCAGTCACAGCTTTGTTCAAGTCTTGTGAGCTTGAGTCTTTGGAATATCGTAGGCGAAAACATCGCCTCAAATTTCTTTTTAAGATTATAAGCGGGAAAACAAAGATAAATAAGGATTTATATATTCAGCCCCCTGGAAGGCGATGTGATCGTCCTAATAATAGTAGAGCAATTCAAAACCTTATTTCAAACGCACGAATGCTTTCCGCCACTCCTTTTTCCCAGACACAATAGATATGTGGAATAGTTTACCCAACGCAGTTGTGCAACAAACAACATCAGTGGATTTTGAAAATGCATTGGACGGTTTCCTTTGTAGTGATGCGTGCTAAATTTTGTTTTCAGCATTTATTCGTTGATATTTATGTGTGTAGTGACTGTTGTTTGTTTCTTAATTTTTTTATTGTTGGTTGTTCATCTCGTATTTGTATGTGCTTTTGAATTTTCCTTTTTTGTGCGAACGTTATCTACTTTGTGACACCCTCCCTCTAATAACCCCAAGCACGGGTTGACAGTATCAAATAAATAAAAAATAAATAAAATGAAAATATTTACACAGGATGCAGGCTTATGCACACGCTTCAATGACGCAAGCCACTTTCAACTTTATCGATTACATTTTAAGAGCTAACACTACAACTTCTCGAGTAACATCGTCCGAAAAAAAGCTTATAATAAGAGGCCAAAGTGCGCGCTAGGGACAGGATATCGCTATCACTTCAACTCGTCAGCTTGACGGTCCTCAAATTTTACCGCAAGCAAATACTTATAGAAGCAGTTAGATTCATTGAAAATGACACACTGGGAAGAGGAACTTCAGAACATATTGTAAAGCAAAGCAAGTGATTTCACAGTGAAGTAGTCACAGTTCAGTTGGTCACGATAATTTCCAACGTTCACCTCCTCAGATGAATTGATGAATGGTAGAAGCATTCTATTTATTTATTTATTTATTTAATGCATACTGCAGACCTTCACAGGTCCAAGCAGGTGGGCACGGTACAAGTAGCAAGTACATGTTAGGCACTCAAGTCACGTAGAAAAGGAAAAAATAATTCAACATACAAATACAGGTTTACACACCCAACACACAGTTTACACACAGTAAATCAACCAAAGTCAATCTTTATACAGAGTCTTTTAGAAGGTTCCATTCTCCACTGTTCGTGGAAAAAAAGAAAATTTAAATGCATCTGTTCGTGCAAAATAAGGTGTTAGGGTTCCGGGGTGATGGTGTCTCGTATGCCTTGTCGATATGGGTGTCAGCTAGTGTGTAGGGTCTAGTGCTGTTTGTCTTTGAAGAAGTTGGGAAAGAAAATTAAGCCTAAATGTCTTCCGTCGTGACTGAAGCAGTTCAATGCGATTAGCTCTAATTAACTCAGAAGGTGAATCAATGTGACGAAACTTAGAGTATATATACCTTACAGTTTTCCTTTGGATTCTTTCTAGTTTATTGACGTTTTTCTGTGTGAACGGGTCCCATATTATGCATGCATATTCTAACTTTGGTCGGATTATTGATTGGTAGGCCAGGAGTTTGACATCAGGAGAAGCGCTTTTTAATTTGTGTCGTAAGAAAGAAAGTTTACGGAAGGCGGAAGCGGAGATATTGTCAATATGTTGATTCTAAGATAAATTACTTGTGAGTGTTACTCCTAAATAATTGAACTCAGAAACTTGCTGTAGAGGTGACTCATTTGAT